TAATATAAAATCATTGGTAATTTATTATTTTCTAAATAATATACATAGGGTATTCAACCATGATATGTATTTGAATTCTAAAATATTTTTTCCTATTAAAAAATCCAATGTTAAATTTATATAGAATCCTTTAGGATTATAGCCCAACGTTACGTTAAGCTATATGTCAAAGATCTTTTAGAGTATTCTATAAAATTTTAAGTAGAGCTTTTTAGAGTTATGTATAGAGATTTTATAGAGATATGTTCAAAGCTTCTATAAAAATTTGTTTAGTTTCTGAAGTCCCCAGACATAGAATTTTATATAAAGTTTGTAGAACCAACTAATAGAATTTTATTAAAAATATCAGATCCAATTAACAGAATGCTGGGCTATAATTTTAAAGAATTCAAACAACTTTTTTTTTGCGTTAATTTTATATAAAAAGTTCTCTAAAAACTTTTGAGTATTGGAAGAATTACCAAAGCAACAAAATTTTCTGTTTTCACTAATAGATAAATTTAATTAAAGTTAAGAAACCATTTCTCTTATCAAGGGCAAAGGTAAAATACATAAAAGCACTAATTTAAGTCTTTAGTCTCTAATCGCTATTTCTTTCAGTAGCATGAAAGAATAACAGAGTGAATTATACAATACTTCCAAAAAGCTCTTAAGAACTACGTTTTTGATATGAGGGTAATGTAAGTGAAAATTCTTTAAGTATTTCTAAGGAAAAATGGGCTATATATGTGTTAACGCGAAAAATCTGAAAAACCATACAGATTGGTTGATCCCCATAGAAATAAAACACTACGAGAACTAACCAGCTTTTTGAGGCTTTGTCCACTTGACCACTGTTCGATCAAGCAGACCAGAGGATGTTACGTTAAAAACAGAAAGGCTAGGTGAGAAAAAGGAGAAAGAGAAAAACGTTTACAATATGTGAAGAAAACTGTCCTCTTAAATGGAAATTTTAATTTTACGTTTTAGTGAATAATATTGTTAGAATTTTATTAGAATCTAACTATTAATATCAGTTAAATATTTTTAGGTTCTAATTATTAATATCTGTTCTAATTATTAAAATCTGCGTTTTATAATATGCAGCTTAACAGCATGGTGCGTAACCGGGTAATTGTTTTATGTCTACTTGATATTTTTAGAAATGTTTTCATACAGTTTTAAACCATAATTTTTGATCAAATAATTTGATTTAGATTTAGGACCCGAAACTTAACCTAAATCACAGATCACAAAATACGAAGGTTTAGCCCGCGATCGCTCCTGAAAATATTCTCTATTTTCGGGATAAAATTATTATCTTTTCTACAAGTATTTCTTTAATTACGTGTTATCTTTATCGTTGCACATTTTGCATATAAGCTTTGAGCTTACATTTAAAATACTTGAAATTTTTTAGCATTCTTCGAATTTCCTAAAATTCTTACGTTGTACATTATATTCACTTGTCATATTATTCGTTCCTTATATAATGTGAACAGAAAAGCTGAAGCAAAAATTTTGTGGTATAAATCCTGGTTGTTGTTACCAAGAAAGCTCTTTTAAATACTCTGTTTATAGAGGGCGCTCAGAAATGCACATTTTACAGAATAACCTGGCAAGGTGAGCAGTTGAAAGGTATAATCCGACCATGCCCATTGTTTTAGAAATACACACATTGTTTTAGAAATACACTTAACGCGGGGCCATAAAAAATTTAAAGAATCGGAAGTTCAAAAATTTCTTTATATAATGCAGTTGTTTTCTTCCCGCACTCAAATTGGACGACTTATCAAATAAGTCACTTACTTGAAGTAATTTCATGACTTAAATTATGTGACGAACTTATCACATAGTTTCATACTTTAACTAAAGTAAGTTTCGATTAAACCAAAGAATTTTCGGCCCCCGAACAACCGATCAATATCGAGCAATAAAAAAGTTTCGCCTACACGCCAAGAAAAGAGAAATACAGATAGTTTTTACGTACGTATAAGACGTTATAATAGTTATTGTTCATTCATGAAATACTTTTGTTAACAGGCGTACACGTCAAAATTTAAAAACTAGCCCACGCAATAATGTATGATGACGAGCCAATGACGACAGAAGAGTTCTATGAAAAGTTTGGCGAATCTGACCATGAATTCGACGTTGAAGGATTTTGATTTTTTTATTTACCAAGGTATTTTTATCGTATATTTACTTTTTTCTCAGATGATTTTTGAATAAATGTAGTACTTAATTTTTTTTTCGAAGTTTCTCGATCGATTTCGGAAGTGGGGGTCGACTTATACGTGGGTTTCGTTTTTTCTACGATTTTCTTATGTCGAAGTGGGGGGGGGTCGACTTATACGCGGTATCGACTTACACGCGTGTATATACGGTATATATAATATGTATATGACATATATAATATATATATCCTTGATTATTTTTACAGAATATTCTAGAGAAACGCAGAAATGAGAGGCCCATGTGGATTGCTAAATGTAGGAATGCGGAAGACTTAATGCAAAAAATGAATTCAAATCACTATAATTTGTATGAAAACGACGCATTGAGTTAAAAGTACAGATTCCTTCATTTTTAGGCTAATTATATTACTTTATGTTTTTCTTAGGTTTTTGTTTGACCTACCTTCGGCACCTAAAATTGTAAATTCATTATGTTGTTTTCAAGCAGAAGACCTGAAAAATGTGCAATTACCTCGCCGGGAAACGAAGCTGGACCTCTCGAATACGGGAGAATGCGCTACCGTTATACCACGAAGACTTGCTGGGAAAAAGGAGAAAATATCTTCTATATCCCCCTTTTTAAAGGACGACTGGTGAGGAGCGGACCCAATCCCCAAATCCTGGTAGTGACGAATTATCGTTCACCACCTTTTAGTTCAAGCGCCACTGTAGATTCATTGTTATTTTTTTTATTTTATTTTTTTTTAAAGAAGCAGGAGACATGAAAAATGTGCAGTGTCCTCACCTGGACCTCTCGAATATGGGCCATATGTGCTACCGTTACAAAACGAAGGCATTCTGGAAAGCGACACCTTATAATATATTGTAAGAATAAATATCTGCTTCATTTAAAACAATTTTGTACTTGGAAAAATATCGCATATATCCATTTACATAAAGAGAGTTAAAAACCGGGTATTTGTCTTACTTGAGCACGGTCTATGGAATGTTTTTCACTCATTTTACAAAAATATAAAGAATATTTTATTTATTAAAAACTTTTCTTCTTTCCTTTTGTGGAAACGTTAAAAAAATAATAAATTTTCACTTGCAAAACGTTCCCCTCATATTCTTGAAACTCTTTCACGAAATAAAATACCTTAGATTGAAACAAATTTGCAAATGGATATACATGCTTAGCGTCACTAATTAAAGAAATAAGCACTGCAGCTACCTTCAGCTTTTTCGACATTTTACAAGTTTCATGATATGATAATAATAATAAACACATTTTTGAATCATCTGTTCAGAAGCCGTATTAAGAATTATATGAGAAACAATTTATAAAAATCTACATTTGTAGCATGCGATTTATCTAATTGTATGTTATTTAAATTCAGTGTGATTATGTTTTATAAATTCAATTTTATTGTTTTAATTTTTTACTGTTATGCAATGTTATGTTTGTATAATTCGTATATAGTTCGATTAATGACCAAGAGTTAAAAAAATTATTTTTTATCTATAGTAGAAAATATGAATGAAAGGAAAAAGTTTAGCTAAGAATTTAATTGTCGTGCAATCAATAGCAAAACCATAGCAATTTCTCTTAGAGACACTTCAAACGAAAGGCCTCATAATAGCAGTGATAAAAATAATTATTATTATGTGTTCGACGCTATTAAGAAATGGCAGTGATTTTTCTTTCTCAGGAACTTCAGTGTTAAAGATATAACAAATGGAAAAATGAAGAATGTAGAAATTATCTCTACTGATCACGTTGTAAATAAGCAAATATATACCAGTGAATGTATTCTTAAAAAAGCTTAAATGATAGTAATATTCTTAACTCTTAGTTTAATTGTAAATCGAACCCATAATGTATTCAATAATAAAAACATAACTTATATAATAGCAAATATTTCATCAGAATGTATAATTATTTAATTTTTAGAATTAAATAATTTTTAAAAATAATAAAAAATACTTATTTTCAATTACATCATGCGCGTAATTATTTATCAATACTTTGTTAATTACAGAGTGGATAAAGGAAGAGAATATTTCATGTTGCTTTTATTGCACCATTTTTATAAAATATTTGAATGTACTGAACTACGGCTGTTCCATTATTCATATGCGTTTAAAAATATCCGTAAAAGTAAAATGGAATAAATGTTGCTCTTGAATAGTTTACACTTGGTTCCACACTTTAATGATTAAAATCAACATCATAAATATAAAAATTACTCAACAGTGTAATTGATGTACAAAATTTCTAATTTCTCAAAATAGTAAATAATAGTTCGACAAAGAATTGTATTTACAAAAATATTTGCAGCTAACTTTCGAATGGATATATTTCAAAGAATGATAGAATTTCGAATGTATATATTTCAAAGGATGATGTGTTATATTATCAGAGAATCTTATGCGGAATAAGATGCTATGTACATAAACTACTTTTGACTTAAAACACATGTGAAAAACATGAAAAGGCTAAATCAACAAGTAAATGAGTTGCGAAACAAATGACAAATACTTGGAATTCGAGAAGATGCGGGTGAATTCAGAAGTGGACTGATTTATTTTTTTTTCTGAAACTCTGCACAAATTGTAATCTCTTACAGAATAAATTTGAAACAGATACATTCAAATTAATTTAATATTTTCTTTTTAAAAACCATAACTGGAAAAATTTACTGAGTATCTTCATCCGACTTTTAAGAATCGAAACTAAAATTCAGTTTTTTGAAAAATTCTAAATAAGAAATGAGCGCAATAAATAAACTTTAAAAGCCAGTTTAAAGAGTTAATTAGAGTAACAGAAGGAAGTAAGCTTACCTGGAAATATCTTTTCTGAATGCGCTCTTAAAGAAGCTGTGGTTCACTGTGGTCTGTATGCGCGCATCTCATTGGCTCTCAAAAGTTTTCGATAGTCATTCTAAGCCAACCATTGCTCTGAAAAGCTCTTCTACAAATGTTCAACCGGCGCCTCCAACCTGTCATTTTACTCAGCCAGCAGAAGAAAGGCGCAAAATCAAACGACCACAGCGCTATCTAGTGCTCAGTTTCGAGGGAAAGGCAATTTTACAGAGCAGGTATATTCTGATTTTCTAAAATAACACAAGCCTTCCGATATATTTAAAGTAATAACTAGTTCTTGAAAGTATAATATTATTATATTAATATAGTTCACATAATTATCTCTTAATAATGATTAAAATATTATAAAGTTCAGATTCTTTAATTTTTTTATCAGAAGTTAAAATGAATCATGATAAAACTGATAACTTTGCATTCTGTATTATTTCATTTTATATTACCTAAAATTAAAAATAAATATACACCTCTTAAAAGTTTCAAGCTGTGTAATATTTTGCCTTCGGTACTGATTTCAAGAACATCATTTTTATTTACTGGTCGCAAATTTGTAAAGTACTTTTGCTAGTAACTTCTTTATACTAGTAGCTGAACTGAATTTGCACTATCAACTGCTAAATTTTTACTATTGTGTTTATGCTGTTTAGAATTAACTTCATATCGTACCTGCACTAGCTAAATGTGAAACTATGTTAGTCACAAAATCATAGAGTGAACAAGAGGCAGAATAACAGAATCTGAAGCATCTTCTGTGTGATTCTGAAGCATCTTTCAAAAGTTGCAGTTCAAATAACCCTTCACGTGTAGGTGAATTTTCTGAACTGATCGTCTTGTAAAGTATATATTTCTATACGAATTAACGCTCGTTATACGTGATTTTTTATGTTTTTTATTCGTTATGCGTAATCACATTTAATAACAGCTGCATAAAAAACTGCACATAAAACATAATATAAAGTCGCTTATGCAGGAATTAATTAGAATGACGTCGTTTCGTTTAGTAAATCATATTACAAACGCAGAATGAGATAAAATTATTAGACTCATAGAAGAATTTTTAAGTTATTTAGCTTGTTAATACATATAGAGCATTCTATTAATAGTAATTAAATACTCAGAAATCTTATTGCTTTTCTATACATTCTGCTGCGTTTAGGCATACATTCAATTAAAGAGTTGCATATTTGGAATTCTTTAAAATTTACGTCATGCCATTTTTGAATAAAGCTTCAATCAGCTCCACTCCATCTTTTATTCATTGGTTTGAAATTTCTTTTACGACTGTTCACACATTTTTGTAACTGCACAAGGTAAAACGTTTATATAATTTTTAGCTAATACATTAGACTATTCTTCGCTTTGTGAAATTCCGTTGACTACTGTGTATGATAAAACAAATTTTCCTACATACAAGTCATGGATTTGAAGCTAAAATCAAATTTTTGACACACTCTTATATTGTTATAGTCTCATAGCTCCTTTAGCACTATATAATCTTTCTAGGCGTCAAAATGCATCACATTCTGAACTATTAATGACTTTAATTTTTTTATCACTTTTTGTATTAATTACCTTTTAATGATATTAGAAATAACCACTGAACACGTTCTATGTGAATGACATGTTCTAGTCACTTACGGACATATTGTAGCGCTTTTTCATTAATATAGAAAATTATTTCTTCTCTTAAACATACCTGAAAAAGATCATTCAAATATTTCTCATTTTTCACAAAAAATACCCAGTAATATTGTAACTATAAATGTTTTTAACAAAACTAATCATAATGGTGAAAACAAAATTCAATAACAGCCATTGAAGTGTAGTAAAATATCAATAAATATTTTACAAACGTTCTTCTTTTTTACATTATACCAATCGTTATGCTTTTCAATCTAAATATATGGCCTATTAACCACAACAAAATAATTTTAGTGTTTTTCTGAGTTCGTAAGATTTGCTCCAGTATTAAATAATGTCTTTTATAGTCACTTAAATAATTTTTTCAAACCTTCAAAGTTATGTTCGATTTTTTAAATCTTTTGAACGTGTTATGCACAGTTAGTTCTTTATGCCTTGGTGAGAATTTTATTTTTTGCCACAGTTTTATCCGAGTTTCAACTATTGGAATCCTTCAACAATTGGAATCCAATTCCAGAAATGAATAAGGCTCTCAGATTTGGGCTGATAGTAAAGTTTCCAACAATCTCTTCTGATTATGTTATTTCAGTGAGTTCAAACAACTGAAATTATATTAGGTTAAATACCTGTTTTTGACCTGCACGTAATACTAATATTTCATACTAAAGTCGAATGTACATACAAGAAAATAGGAATAAATAGTAATTAAAAGTAATGAATAAAATAAAATTAAGAATTCATTTAAATGATAATAATATACGAATATGCATGAAATAAATATATAATTGCGTTAAAGTTATTTATTGTATGAAATTGAAATAAATAATGTTATAACAAATTTTGATATAATTAACTTGCATAAAAACCTTTCAAGATAAACAAATAAAATAAAGTTAAATATACTCACAAATAAATTGTTGCAAAAGAAAACATAACAGTGTTGTGTTGTGTAGCGAATTTAATTTAATTAAGTGATTCATAAAAATCAAAATTTTAATTTGTAATTATTCAAAATTTGAGCTACACAAGTTTGGTTATATTCTTTTTGGGCCTATTAATTCTAGTGTAATATATTTTGGCTTTCCGAGTTTACGCAAACTGCGTCTTCATTCTTGTACACGCAAACAATGGATAAGTATTTCTTTCTACGTAATAAACTCAGTTTTTCATGTCAAAAATTAATTTGATTTCTTAGTATTTAATATCATTAGTTGCAGAAAAATTAGCTCTTTAATTTGGCATAACTTTCATTTTTCTAACTTTAATTGCTTTTCAGTTATGAGCTTTAATTAGTAGATTTTTCTTCGTTTCGCTTGTGATTTAGTTAAAGGGGGATGAAATGCCTTCTTTCCGGTTGAAAAGTCACTTTTTGCGAGTTTTCAGCGTTCTTTCGTTGGGACCCTTGCAGGGTTGTTGAAATTCCTAATTTCCCCCGGTCGCAGGTGGTGTTTATTTGGCGAGGGTTTCGCGACATAGATTTTCCGTTGCGGTTTCAAAATAGTGGTTTTGGCGAGTTTGATAACATGAGGGTATGCTGTGGTTGCAACTATTTCAACTTTCGGCGAAAAATGAGTTGCGCCAACTTGGCAGTACGGCGCTCTCCCTTTTAACGGGTTGTTTTGTGGGACGAGCGCACTTTTGCACTTTTTACACTTTTTGCACTTTCTGACACTTCTTTTGGCCTTTGAATTGGCCGGAGGCGACAGCTGACTCCGACGAAGAAAATGGAGCTTCGCCCCGATAGACCTACGGGCCTCTTGGCTAAGCGCTGTGAGCGCCTGCCGTAGGTATGGGCATCTATGTCTTCAAAAAAAAAAATCGAAATTCTTTCATCAGTTTTTGTTGTGTGTGTTTGTGTATCTCAAGAAAAATATACAGAAGTAAATTTCTAGAAAAATGATGCGCACCATTGATTCGTCGCTTCACTCGGAACCACAGCGTTAATTTACAACCGTTGCTTTTGGAACCTCATTTGCTCATACTAAAATCTACTAGAACTTCAAGGCTACCGTAATGAATAATTTACAACCGTTGCTTTTGGAGCCTCATTTGTTCATCCTAAAATCTACTAGAACTTCTAGGCTACCGTAATGAATCCAGACTGTTCGACGAACATTTTTTTTCCCATTCAACTGGCTGCCAGCATTCCTCATCAGCTTCGATGGATTTCTTTTGTTTGATGCTCCTTTTGCTCCTGGAACAGATAAGTTCTTTTCTTTTTTTGGTTAATTCTTGGTCAGTTAAATATTATAGATTTCTGCAGTTAAAATGATTGAATTAACTTAATTTGTTAATTTGTTGAACCCTAAATTTTTTTTTGTAGTTGATAACTTTATCCTAACTCTATAGAAATCATTTTTCTTTGGTGTATCAATCAAGTAAAAGCATTAAATGGAATAAAGATTTATAACCTTATTAAAATTATTGTAACTTAACTTAATGGTTAAGAAAATTAAGTTCTTCAGGAAATTATTTACTTGAATGTTTTTTTGAATTACTCATTGGTGAGGTTGATTTCAAATAGTGCTTGTATTAGAGCATTCTTGTTTCTCAGGACGAACTTGTTGGTAGAATAGTAAATGTGTCATTACTTATCTTTATCCGGTTAAACCATATTTAATTAATCTAAGAAAAAAAATTAAATAATAAAAATTGTTATGTGCAATAATAGTATTTAAATGATGATACTGAGTGCAATATTAAGCAATAATTTTTGTTGTATTGAGGAATTCTGTGTGAAGTGGAAAGTGTAACTTGTTAATTTTTTTTTTATTTTCTCCCCGGGAAGGGTAATGTTCTTAAATTTATAGTTTATTTTGGTATGTTTTACCAGATTTGCAATATTAAATTTAATAGTAATTACAAGGATGTTAAAAAAATAATTACTTGGAAATGTTTGATGTGTAAAACAATAGTTCAAATTTTGTTGAATATATTTTGATATTTTTTTCAACTAATGGATATATATTTATATATAATTGGCATTAATAGTTAAATAACTAAGTTTTCTAGATCATTCAAAGGTTAAATTTTTGCGTGTGTGCCCATGATTTTCACCCGTCTCATTCTCAAATTGATTTCAGGGTTAATCCGAAAACACAACGCAAATGTACAGGGCTTATTGATATTAGTATGTTACTGTTGTTGAAAAATTTTAAGTGTTATGTCAACAGAGTAGGAAACCATAACAATTTTGGTACCATGTGATTTTTCACTATAACATTATTGGTACCGTGACTTTTCATGATAACATATTATGTTATGGAGAAAAGTCATGGTACCAAAAAATGTTATGGTGTCCAAAAGGTTTCCTACTCTGTTGACATAACACTTAAAATTTTTCAACAACAGTAACATACTAATATTAATAAGCCCTGTACATTTGCGTTGTGTTTTCGGATTAACCCTGAAATCAATTTGAGAATGAGACGGGTGA